GTCTCCAGACCACACCTCTCTGATTCCGAAATGATGTCACCGACAGGTGAAACTGCCCACCTACACCAGGAAGCGGGAAAAAGTCCCAGAGACAGGACAAAGTCTGAGTCCAGCGGCACCTTTGAGACCCACACAATTTGAGTCAAGGTATAAGCGTTCGTGCGCAAGCACACTTCTTCTTCGGATACAGTGGAACAGAGGTTCCTCAGCCATTACATATAGGCAAGGACGAAAGCGGACAAAGGCTTGTCACACCCCGGGGAGGGTTGGATCCAGCTTTGCTTTCAGCCCCGGGACAGGAGGTTACCTGACGGCCGCGCCCTGCCACCGACCGGAAGCCCTCGGGTGGGAAGACCCATGGGGCGCAGTAAGGGGGTTACTTCGGAGTGATCGAGCGAGGGATCGGGCCACAGGAGGAGGGAAGCACCCCCAGTTCTCTTCTCTTTGCCGATCCGGGGTTGTGCGATTTTTGTTTTCCAGCCGGGATTCGAAATCTTCCAGCTCGCTCGTCTAAGAGTTTATCCGGTGATGTAGAGCGCTCTGCACACGTTCAGAGACGCCCTCGCCGCTTATTATTTATTGGGAGGGGCAATGCAACTCCGTCTCCAAAGGGCGCAGTAACTTAAAGGCTCCTGTTTCACCCTTTTTTATCCTCAGGACGACCCCGGGAGGTAGGTTAATCTGGGAGACGGTGATTGGTCCCAGATCACCGGATCATAGCAGAATTGGGGAACCAGTGTGGCGTAGTGGTGTCGGACTGAGATTGTGGTAAACCCAGGTTCGAATCCCCCCTCTGCCAAGGAAGCTTGCTGGGGGACCTTGGACGACTCACACACTCTCAGGCTAACCTACCTCACAGGGTTGTTGTGAGGATAAAATGGAGGAGCGGAGAACGATATAAGCTGCTTTGGGTCCCCATTGGAGAGAAAGGTCGGATAGGAAGGAAGGAAGGAAGGGAAGAAGAAAGAAAGAATTTCCTTAGTCATAAGCCCAGGCAGGCTCTAACCACACCACACTGGCCAGAATCGAGTGGACTGCTGCCTTCTGCGAAGGCCCTACAGTCGTGCCTGCCCCAATTGTTAGGAAGTGGGTTTCCTTCTACTAGATAGATGAGAACATGAGCTCCCTTGGAAGCCCCTGGTTCAAATCTCATCTCCC